AAATTGTTTTTAGTGTAATTATTGTAGTGTTAAATGATCTCAATTAAAATATTATCACTTCATACTGATCAAAACCGGCCAAAAAAGATATTGTGTTCTTTCCACATAACGTAATCAGACGTAATGTGCCGCACTGGACCGAAAGACGATTTGCACTTAACACATTGCGATCCTGCCCGATTCTGCTCGATTCAGTAAATCGTCTAACCCTTTTAAACATATCACCATGCGTACACATACGTCACTGTGAACGTCATTCGTGTGGCGCAAAACAACTGTTATGTTAATAATGTGGTGGGAGTGGGGACAAGTAAAGCATGCAGACAAAATCAGGAAGAGTTGGTGGTTTGCTTACGATAAGAACACAAGCCCGCTTGCATCAACGCGCAATGACATCCTTAGCTAAAGGAACAGATAGCGTTACCGTTTCGGCGATAAATAATAGACTAATATACAGTTAACATCGTATGTCACGCTGCGTAGTAATTGATATGGAGCATTTCTATATAGATACGTATAGCATATGATGACGAGACAAGGCCTGGAAATGGAGAAACATGCGTCGACAACTCAACTATCGGACATACCGAAACCTGATACACGTGTACATATGATGACTTCGGGAAAAACTTGATACTTATGAATTAAAAAATGTAAAACTTGTTGTATGTTGATTACATTGGAGACTATACGAAGATATTGGAGTATAACAGATGTCGCCACCTGTTTTGCATTCATGATCATTCTACAAGTCTTGACCTTCAGGTTCTGACAGCGTATGTTTTTATGACCAATGTATATATTTCGAGGTTATGGCAGAGCAGAAACGAGTAGACTGGAAAATCAGTCTCATCGACAAAAAAACGTTAAGGGCGGTGTAGAGAAGCAATGACATCATTTGAAGTCAGTATTAAGGAACTCTCATGCAGTAAAATAAAGATGGTTAAAGAGACTCGGAAATACAAACTCACTGTTGCAACTGTTGAAGTCATATGTAATAAATGACAGAAACAAGAGAAACAAACTCTTTTTGCTCGATGTTTATGGAAAATCACAAGTAAAATGCCAGAAAGTACAAAACTGCAGAAGCAAAAGGGAAAATTGGAACCTGCTGCGAACGTCCCCGTTTTTGGGTCGTTATAGGCTGTTTGATGACGTGTTGGTCATTTCAAGTGTGTGAGATTTGACCAATATCTTGCAAGAATTAAGCCACCAGAATGCTGAACGAAAAAAGTAATGGTGACCTTGACGTTGACCTTAACTCAACAATACAGAAACTTGAACTTATTCAAGACATTCTGATACTTTAAAGTACGTGAAGTTAAATGAGAATCCCTCAAGGTATGAAACCACAAGAGATCGAGCTTGTAACATTTTTAGCTCTCCTGGCCTAAAGTGCCAAGTGAGCTTCTGCCATAGCGCGGCGTCCGTCGTCCGTCCGGCGTCCGTCAACTTTTCATTTAAACAGCTTCTTCTGAAATACCGAAAGGCGTAGAAATATCATATTTAGCTGGAAGGTTTCTTTGATGAAGCCCAACAAAGTTTGCACAACGAAATGACCTTGAACCATATTTAAGGTCACAGAGGTCACTTGTGTTAAAACCTTTAAACGACTTATTCCAAAATACCAGAAGGCCTAGAATCATTATATTTGGCTGGATAGTTCCTTTGATGAAGCTCAACAAAGTTTGTGAAAAAAATAACTTTAACCCATATTCAAGGTCACAGGAGTCAAATGTGTTAAAATGTTTAAACAATTTCTTCTGAAATATCAAAAGCCTAGAATCATTATATTTGGCCAGTATTTCCTTTTATGAAGTCCAGGAAAGTAAAAGAAATGACCTTGACCAATAGTCAAGGCCACATGTGTTAAACGTGGAACATATGCACAGATATAGTAATGTTGGTCATAAAGATCCAGGTGAGCGATACAGGCCCTCTGGGCCTTTTGTTTTAATAAAAAAGTAACGTTGACCTTGACCCAATAACCTTGAAACTTCCTCTTGTCCAAGATTATTTGATGCCTTATAAGTGTGTGATTGATGGGCATCTCTCGAGGAATGAAGTCGCTAGAACACTGATAACATTTTTATAAATAAAATAGTAAGTGTGACCTTTATTTTGACCTAAGAACACTCGATCTTGCTCACGATAATTTGGTTTTTTATAAGTGTATGAAGTTTGAAGAAAATCCCTCTAGGAATATAGCCATTAGAAGTTATTTTCTGAAAATACCTGCAGTATCATTAATTCAACAACTCTGAAACACTAAGTTATCCACGATATTGAAACTGTTAATAAGCGTGTAGATTTAATGAGATTCACTGAAAGAATAAAGTTGCTAGGACGCTTACATTTATAACATTAGTAGCAGCGACCTTGACACAACCATCCAAAAACTCGAACCTGTTGAAGACATTTAAGTGCTCTAAAAGTGTGAAGTTTGACAAGATTCTCTCAAGGAATTAAGTCGCTAGAGATTTTGTGTTTTCTTTAAATAGTAAGGATGGTCTTGACCTTGACCCAACAACACTGAAACTCGATGTTATCCAGATAATTTGATGCTTTTATATGTGTTTTGTGTTTGAGTTCATGCCCTTAAAAATGAAACATTGTCTTTGCGATATTTCTAAGGCTCTTGATCGAGTTTGGCATGCAGGTCTAGAACACAAATTGGGAAGTTATGGAATCAGCAGAAATCTCTTAAGATGACCTTATGATTACGGAATCGCCGGCATCTTTTAGTACTAAAACAACTAATGCTAGTGTACCCAAGGTTCTGTCCTAGGTCTTCTTTTTCTCTTGTACATTAATGTTATACCTGATAACCTTGACAGTGTCTCACGTCTTTTGCTGACTATACTTTATTTACAGTCACTTCTGTTTCTACTGCTGAACTTGAATTGGCCGAAAACTGGCCTGTCAAGTTTAATCCCAATAAAACTGAGGCTCAAATGAGTCGAATGTTAATAAAGTATTTGATATTGTTGATGTTAATTTAATTGAATATCACAAACATCTCGGTATTCTGTCTTGGTGCAAACTGTAAATGGACTTGTCATATTGATGACACTTGTAAACGTGTAAGCAGGGACGTATAATCTGTATTATACGTCCCTGGTGTAAGTAAGCAAATTGGAATACTTCGGAAGTTAAAATTTACTTTAAATCACAAAACTTTTAATCAAATGGAATACTTCTTCCTCTCGGGTACTGTTATTAAGAATGGGACTGATGTACAATTGCTAACAAACTTAAAAAATGTAAAAGTAGTTGCTGGTCTGCCATTCAGTAGTACGGAAACTTTGTCTTAACGACGTACCCGACAAAAACTTCAACTGTTCTATACGATACATAACAACATGGCCCCTCTTACCTAACAGACATTCTCCCTCCTCAAACATATATTCTAACTCCATTTGATTTAAGGAACTCAGAGAACTGTTCAATTCCAAATTTTCGTTTACAGTCTTCACTCGATTCATTTATCCCGTCCACTACAAGGTCATGGAATGCACTTGACTCTATTAACAAATTCAAAAATTTTAAAGTAACGGATTATACTAATCAGACATTATACTTTAAATGGTGATTTCTTTATAATATATAATATAATATAATATAATATAATATACAAATCGTGCATACCATTTCCTTTTCACATGCCATAGATATAATGATTAAAGATGTTCTTAAGCTTTCATAGATTTTTCTCCCTAACCTCAGAGAAATTATTATCTGGTCAGTATTGAAGCCTGGTACTGTCTCTGCCGAGTTTCTCTTCTTCAACTCATCACTGTCACAAATCGCTGTTGATTGTAATCCGACAGCACTCTTTCCGACTAACGATGTAAACAAATCACCTTTCATGTATATATGCTCTCGCAGCCCATCCGACCACTGTCACTATACATTTCCTTTAGGAATTTTGAATGTCTGAACATGATGCGAATTAGCTGTCAATGACGTAACGTCATGTCAAGCTGTTACGTGTATAGATTTGTTATAACACGATCCGTCATTAAAACATCAAAATATACATTTATTCGTTGTTTTTTAAACTTATCTAAGAAAATAATTATAAGCTTTGATACGAACATCTTTTTAGTTCCGTGGCAGTATGAAGGAAAACACTTTTTAGCATTCTTATGACAAATGTGTTGCGCTTCTTTTCACTAACGAAAGGGTTGACAGTCGATGGAGCCGCGATACTAACTCCTCCACACGAGAATCATTGTGACCCTTTTTGCGTAATGTAAACTTTTCCAATGAATGTGTTATTATTGCCGGGAAATTTGCGATCTGGTTCGTTTGTATGCCTGGTAGTTTTGTTGTTATTTGAGACCGTGTCATCATTTATCGGATTCATCAAGATTTGCGCAGCGGTTGTCGATGAAGCAGAAGACGGCAACCTTTCCGAAACACCAGATCTATAGTCTTGTACTTTTTTCACGTGACTGCATGAAACAAATTTCTTTATCTATATTTTGACCTGGTTTATTGACTTTGTTAACCCAGTATTTTCTTTTGTTTATGTAAACTTTGAGGGGTCAAGGACTGACTCTTGTGGTTACCCAGCCTAAACTACTGCGTCGACCAGTGTTCACAGTTAGGCCATGGAGTCTAACGATTCTACCTGGCCATTTACCAATCATACAACATTAAAAATGGCATTTGTAATTTAGCATGACCTTATAATCATTTTAAAACATATTAAGCTTTATCATAATAACATTAAACTATACCGGCTCATGAGCAGCCATTTAATATGATCCCACGGTGTGCCCCTCGGGCCAGTCATTTTAACTTAGTTTATAATTAATCGTCATGCACAGTTCTCTGTTATCTCTATCATATAATATCTCTATTTCATGAAATAAATATGTTTCCGGATAATGTCGATTTTCGATTATTACAGTACTTTTTCTCTACTTAAGCGTCTCAAAGACATCGATTTTCAAGCACCTGCCGCGAAAAGACGTTTGAAAACTGAAAAGTAGAAAGGCAGTCCCATCTCGTGAAAGCAGGGTAATAATATTCACATTATCACCAGAATTAATTTCTAATGAGTGTATGCTCGTAATTCATACTTAATGACAACTTCAGAAGCATTGTTTGAATCGTAGTTCACTGTCAAAAACTTTCACCAGTAAATTTGGTTGGTTCACCAATTTTGCAGCACGTAAGTTGTAACTTAAGAGAATCCGTCCCCCCCCCCCCCCCCCCCCCCCCCCCCCCGAGTCCGTTTGCCCTATATTGGGGGTCCGTTCGACCTACTTATTCATTTACTAACTTCTATATTAATAAAACGATTATAGCGTAAAATTAAAATTGAAATTAGCAAAAATTAAGAAAAAAAAATATTAGTGATGATGTAATGACAGAGACGTATATAACACTGTGTTATATACGTCTCTGGTAATGATGAGAGCCTTAAATAAACAAAATCGATTTATCATAACCGCACTTGAAACCATACGATAGTAATTATGTTATTGAATTGATAAATACATTTAAAACAACACGTTTGGTTACAGAAGATTAGTGTTTTGGGTTGTTACTAATCACATTAAAGATAAAAAGAAAATGTGTTTGAAACTTACTCTTTTATCACTTTTGTTCGAAAAAGATCAGATAGACCAATATAGAGGAGGTACATAGTTCACGAGGACGACAATAACATTTGCTTAGTAATATTATTAAACGGTTTCATCTGGATTGAAATAAATGAAGAAATGTCAACATCTTACAAGCATCGCATGTTTTTACACTTGTCAAGTCACAGTCAGATTGCTTTAGGATTTCTTTACTTCTTTTCTGTCATTTTTTAAATTTCTGTTTTGAATTTTCAAAGAATTTGCTTTTAAATTTTCAGAAAATTCAAACAGCTCCCAGGATGAGTGGTAGTATCTTTACCATATTCCCACCTGTCCCAGCAGAGGATTCCATCACATTGTGCGAACAGAATGGACAGATGGTAAACATCCGATCAGGTGGACGTGTGCCAGCAAACCGGGTATGAAACTTTACAGTTATATTGGCTGTATGATTGTTTCACTTATGTAATGATTTTAATCTAATTACTTAAAATCTTTGAAAATTGTGAAAGAAACAGAAAAAAGGAATTCCTGCTGTGTGCCCCCACAAATCAAACTGGGGTCTTCAGTGTGATAATCCACGACTCTACCAACTGAGTCAAAGAAACATTCTCCATCAGCTGGGTGAGAGATCATAAGTAAAGCAATGTACAAATCACACTGACCTGCTCATTTTAAAAATCATTCATATATTTAATTATTGTATTTGAACAAAATAATAAATAAATATAACGGATGTGGTGAAATTTTTGAGCATATTTGTTCCTTAAAATGAGATGAGATGTGTAGATAACAATAAAGATTTCTTTTTTTTATGATTTGTGTGTATTGTAAGATGTTTGATTTCATTCTGAAAATGAGACTAGATATGATGTGTAAACAACATTAATAATGTTTATTATGAATGATAGTTATTGTAAGATGTAGTTTTACTTTTTCTAGTTCCCTGGGTATCCGGATGTAATTATTCCCAAAGACACCACCAAAAGTTTATCACAACGAGAAAATGCAAAGTCAGCCTTCCTGTCACACGATGAAACAGTTTGGAAAAGAGCCATGCATGCATGGTGAGGAATTTTAAACATGTAGGAAGTCAGCTGTTACATAGTTGCTGTTCATTGTCCGGATGTGAAATGTTCTTGCAATCTCTAAATTCATTTAGGATGACTTTGTATTTTGATGAACTGAAGAAAAAACAGATAAATAAAAAAGACAAAAAAAGAAATATATCACTTTCTTCAAGTACTGTTTGGTCTGAGACTTTAGTTTTTGTTATCATTGGTCTATATATTAGAGTATGACTTACCATTTTAATCATTTGTGACAATATAAACATTTAAGATTTTTTAGAATTTGTATTTTACCTTTTAGTTTGTTTGATGTCATTTCCTTTTTGGATCGCTGTGTGTTCACTGGTTGATGGCCCTAATGATCTTTTATGTGTTGACAGGCCGTTAAGAATGTAGTGATAATGACGAGAATTTTTATATCAAAAGTTTCTCAAGAAGAACATATTCTGGTATGGAATTCATTTAGTCGTACATATTATTTTTCCAGGTATGAGATTGGACTGTCTGGTGTGTTTGAAGAAATAGTAAACAGTCAGGATGAAGGTACAATTACATGCCTATTTATATATACAATGGCAAAATTAAATCTATGTTTTATTTTCAGTGGAAGAAATTAGGAATAATTTATATACATAATTCACCATATGGAAATAGTTTCAACAGTGTTAATACAATATTTCTCAAAGCTATACACAGATTGATAGACAATTTGGTTAGATTTATATTAATACATTTTAATGAGTAAGTAAAACTATAACTGAAATTTTAGAAATATCACTGGACAGGTATGTCACAGAGCATCCTTAACACTCCAGAGGTTTCAATCACTTTCACTCGCAGTATTCCTGGAACTTGTCATGGCAAAATTGAAAGCACAAATGAAGTACAAATATAATTTGGTTTCAGGAGAAAATAAACTGACCAATCACAGGCTAATATGCTCCTTTTGAAGATTAGAAGGGAGTGGCGCCTCACTTCAAAACCATTACAATATGACATTATGCGAACTCGAAATTTGTATATGTACATAAAAAGATCAACCTAATCTGTCTTGTCCATAAGGTGTCACACTTGAAATCTCCAATTTTGCCATGGTGTGTTCCAGGGCAGCAGAGAGTAAAAGTGATTGTAAACCCTGGGGTATCAAGGATGATCAGAGTGTTTGTGATTGTCATATCATATTAGGTCTGACACTTGTTAAGTATTGAAGCAGAATTTATTTTTCGCTTTTTTCACACTATTTGTAGTGAGAATAAACTAATATAGCTTTGCCATTAAGCATAAATTCAAGATTCATGTATGTTATTTCGTTGAAATGTTGTTATTATTATGCATAGTACCAAAGTGGGCAGCTTCCATGGCCAGATCAACTTTAACATTTGTAAGAGGGTCAAACTCACTTCATGGATCCCTGTTCCCTCATTTGTCTGTGAGTATGTAATTTTTAAGGTGACTAAGCAAGGTATACTGAATTCTCAAAGAGATTTGGTATATAAGTTATGACTAAAGTTTTAAAATGACATGATGAAAATTGGTGTGAACAATTGGCTATGGCCACAGTTGTTCAAAGACTGGTTAGAGATAACGATTGGAAATATTCTAATGTGAATCAAACAAACTTTGGAATGTTCTTTATCAAGTCGTTCTATGTAGATTTGTTGAGACCAGTCAAATTGATATATTTGGAGTATTGATTTTACATTCATGAAACTAATTTGATGTACATAAAATTAAAAAAAGAAATAGGTATATTATTATGCAGTGTTAGTTAAGAATGAACAATATCTAGATAAACAAATATAGGAAAGTTTCATATTTCTCAAATATTTCTCGTCAGTCTCTTTGATCTTGTCAAATTTACTTGCTTTTTATTATATCATGTTAAGTGCTGAATGCTGATTTCAGTGATAAATGCAGGAAATCTTATCAACAAATTTTGCATTTGTTGGTAATTTCTAATTATCAATCTATTCAGACAAAAAAATGCAAATTCTATCAGCTTATAATCTATGGAAATTAGAATATTTATTGTGTAACATGCCAGATATACTTTATCTTAGCATAAATATCTTGTGTAGGTAAGTGAACAATAGATAGTACCACACAGTAAGGTGTGCCAACCGAATACCAGATGGGTGGTCGGATGGCGCAGTGGTAACACACTCACCTTTCACCTAGCCATCTGGGGTCTTACTTGCACTCTTACATCTAGGCCAACAAGAGTGATTAGTATAAGTTGAAATAACTTTTTTCGCAATTGTTGTAAAATAAATAAAGTTGATCGTACCACACAGTGTATAAATGGAGGCCTTAGTATATGAAACCAGAGAGAAGGAGAAGGGTACTGTAGTTTTTCTCCATGTCTGTCTGTCCTCCTATCTGTATGTACTGGTACATTGTACTTGTAAAGTATCAAAAGATGTTGGACAGATGTGAGATTCAAGGTTATTGGGTGAAGGTCAAGATCACTTACTGTACTACTTTTAGAAAATTGTCAGCACTTTGGCAGCTTCATTCCTTACAGTATTTTGATCAAACCTTGTACACTTACAATCACAGTGTTTTGAACAAGATTGAGTGTCAAAATTGTCGGGCCAGCATCAAGTTCAAGGTCATTGTTGCTATTTTTTAGAAAGTCATTGCCAGTGCCTTGCAGCTGCACTGCTTGACAAATTTTTTCATCAAACTTCTCACGCTTTTAAAACTCTGAAATATCTTAATCAAGTCTTTAGTCACTCTTGCAACATTTGAAAATAGAATAGATCTTGATACAAAAATACATTGTTGTAAATTGAATAAAAACATTTTTATAAAACCTTGCAATATTTTTCTTTAACAATGATTACACCAATAATTTGACTTTTTGCAGATGTCTAATGAAGATATTATTCGAAAGTTTTCCCACATGGTGGACTGGTAAGATAAATTTTCTACATGATATCAACTGTATGTTTGTGTCCAATCTAGTCACTTCAATTTTCAGAAACATTAAAAAATAATGATTAAAATGTATAGATTAAGGCGAGTCAGATATGTAATATATCTTACAGACTTCTTAGTGCAACTACTTGAGATTCAATTATCCTTTTCTCTGTTATAGGGCTTCAAGTCCAGTGAAGGCCTTTGCCTGGCACCCTCACACCACGAAATTTGCATATGCTATGGAGGATGATTCAATCAAAGTACACATGGCACGTAATGAACTTGTGCCAACCCTGAAACACAAACTTCAGAAAAATGTGTCTGATTTAGCATGGAGGTAACATATCTAACACTGAATTACTTAATTTGTGCAAGCTTTCCTCAATATCATTTATAGAATTAACAATAATGGATCAATGCATCGTACACACTGTATAGAGACCATTACGATTATGTCAGATTCCATCAGGGCAATATAATGCATTTTATTAATGGTATTTATGTGGCCAGGATGATATCCAATATATAGGGTTAAATAAAGACCTCCTTTACATAACCCTTTTGAAACTGGCCAAGCAGCACAGAAGTATATTATCTTGATAAACAAATATGCATGTGCCAGATTGCTACACATAGAGCACAAAATTAACAGTTTTTGAATTCCCTGTCAAGTATTAACAATAAACCAGTAATAATATATAATCCATTGTAGCCAATTTGTGTTGGACATGTACGGTTAACCCCCTTCAAACTGCATGTGCCCAATATTCCGCAATCTAGTCTCAATCCTGATCTGTGTCTGGTGTATCTCTTGCTAGTTTAGCCAGTTCATGCGCGAGTAAACATAGAGTATTTTACATATATGTAAATATGCGATATCCACTTAGATTGTTTATGGTCTAAGGGGAAGTAACTTCATTCCCAATTTGTGTTCGTATTCAGTCCTTGTTTGATAAGGTTACATATAAACGCAGATAAGTTTGATTGACACATATTTTTGAAATCAGATATCTCTAATTGAATACTTTAATCCGTCGAGTTCCTAAAAATTCCTTTTTATTTAACTGATAAAGGAAATCCTTATGCAACAGAAATTATCTGACTAATTGATATGCAAAATGGCTAAGTTTAGCTTTCAAATCCTTTAATGCTTTCCACATAGCACTTGAAATTGGATCAAACTCATTATGTCATTGATATCCCACATTTTGTCGCACTCTTCGTATATTTGATAATTTGAAATGACAAAACTAAAAGACTTGTTTTGCATCAAAATTCTGGATAAGTGTAATAAATTCATTTTAACCTAGACACAGGGGTGTCAATGCGGGAGGAAACTGGAGTACCCGCGGAAAACCCAGTTGGTTAGGTAGGTGACCCCATACCTTTCACATCCGTTCTAGGAATCAAACCCAGGACATTTAAGTTACCACTCTGCCACTTGACCACCCTTTACTTAAACCTGTTTACACATAAGAATCCGAAAGGTCAGATTGAAAAATGCTTTGATTTAAGTGGTATCAATTTTGGGAAATCCTTTCTAGTGTCGTTTCATGTCTGTAGAAATGTTTACTGGTAAATGTAAAACTTCTGAATATTAAAGTCTTAATATATTTGATACTGACTTGAAACATCCTCTGTGGTCTCATTTCATACCAGTAGAAGCTTTTAAGTAAAGATGTGTATTTACAGGCCCCAGTCAGCATCAGTGTTAGCAGTAGCGTGTCAATCCTGTATCCTTATCTGGCATGTGGAGCCAACTTCGCTCGCAACACGGTATGTACACCAGCATTTTAATTTTTACCTCAGAAAACAGCACCAGGTGTATATTAAATGAATAAATATTCAAAGAGATTACATGAGAAGCACAATTAAAAATCTGTCATGAAATTTATTTGTGTGTCTCTTTTCACTTTAAAACATGTAAATGAGATGTTAAAAGAAAATTTCAAGGATATCAAAACAGAACTCTTAAGCACATCTTTATATATGATAATACTTATGTTAAAAACTGTTTAGTTATTCTGTTTAATGATAGTCATATAACTATAAATAAATTAATTCAGAATACTGTAAAATTAGCTATTTCATGGATGATTCATTTTTGTTGATTTTATTGGTACTCTTATCCAGAAATCCAGGAATGTTCTTGAACAGTTAAATAAGTATCAATTTAAGAAGGTTTATTGCATTTTTTGTACATTTAATCAAATGTCCATAAATCAGTAATTGTTTTAATAAACATGGAAATGGAGTCCACTGAAATTTATGATTTTACAGTAATTTGAATGCATTGATTTCAAAAATTTATATTTAGCAGACATTTATGAATAGTTTTTTTTTATCAAAGTTTGTTTCTTTAACGAAATTGTAACCATAGCAAATATGACATATTTTGAAATAATATTTTTTCATTAGGTTCAATTTTCATGGTTTTCAAAACTTCCATTTCCACGGAAACTTGATTTCATGGACAAATATAGCTGAATATGAAGTTGTTGATTAGGAATTCCTATGAAATAAACAAAAGTAAATCCACTTAAAAAATAAATGATTTTACAATTGTGCCTGAAAAAATATTGATTGCCATTTGGTATTTAACCATTTTCTTTTTCCTCCCTGTTATTTCATATTATGAAGTATTAAAAATTTTAATGTATTTAATTACATTTGTTTTGAGCATTGAATTGGTTAATTACATAATAACTGTGTGATATCAAATTCTAATTAAGGCCGTCCACAAGTTCAGTGCAAGTACTACAGCAAAGTAATCATGCCCCAGTAACCTCCTTATCCTGGGACCCTAATGGGTGTATCCTTCTGTCAGCTTCACCAGTAGATACAGCTGTTCTGGTGAGTAAAAGGAACATTGATAATTATTGACACAAACTCTTAGAAATATTTATACAAATATTGCTGTTTCAATTCATGTTTCATATACAGTGAAAGCCTTCATCAGAAACAAGAACAAAATACATAATGTATTGGGGATGGGGGTGGGGGGGGGGGTTAATTTTATTTTAATTCTTTTCATATACAAAGTGTTGTGAATAAAAGTATTTGTTCTAGTGACAGTTTCTGTATTTGGTTAAAGTATTGGATACACACAAACTGATTTGATAAAAAACAATGATTTACTTAGATTCAATTGCTCCAAAATAAATATGTTTACATCTGAAAGCTTGTTATATCGCAGTCATTTTTAAAGTCTGAAAAAAATATCCCGCCTTGTTTTAGTACTCAAAAGGATTTAGTCGTATTTAAAAGAAATAGGTTTTCCATGCAGCAATAGCTGGAAAATAACAGGTGGGATGATAAAACATTGTGGGGATATGTATTGGTAGGCCTGGGATGTTCCTATGGAAACCTGTATTCCCCTGAGGCGAGGAGGAGGTGGAGGTGTATCTGTGATATCCTGGTCACCAGATGGCAGCAAAGTTTTCACAGCCACTCCTTCAAATGTGTTCAGGTAGGAAAAGTGTTTCATCAAATCACCCAGAAAGATGTTGTTTTAGTCATTTGAGTTGCCACATCTTGTTTCTGCTGAAGCTGTGAATTTGAAAATGTTTTGATGAAATTTGATTAATGTGTTAATTATGGTGAAGCATTGTGTTGCATACCATGCTCTTACTAGGTCATATACTCGAGATTTAAACATACAGACTCTACCCTAAGGTCATGGTCAAACTAAGGAGTCAGAGGTCAAATCATTGTGATATACTGTGATATGTTGAACTAATGCAGTGAGTGGTGTTAGATTATGAGATAATGTTACCTTATACACTGTGGGCTTAACAGTCAATGCCAGGGTCTCGGGAATGGTTTACATGTCTTATCATTGTAATTTTTGTTTTGACCTAACTTTACTTTTGCATATGTACAATTTGCTTTGAAGCATTATTTATCCATGTGTCAGGAGATTTGAAACTAAATAAATATATAGATATACATGTTGTTATGTTTTGAATGATATTCAACTACTGTGCCCTCCTTTTTTTAAAGAGTGTGGGAAACCACTAGGTGGAGCTGTGAGAAGTGGACAAAGTGTGAGGGACGTTGTAAGGTATTGTCATGAAATTTCACTTTAATTGTAAATGTATTTTGTACATGTATCTATGAGTGTTTTTTGACTCTCTGCTCTTATATTTTACACAATATACTTGCTGCATGGTCTTATTCGTATTTGTACATTTGTAAATGTAAATCTCTATTGTCACATACAGCTTTTAAAGTACACATATTAGTCTCATCATCTTTTTTCTCCATTTATTTAGGGTTTATCTATAAAATGGCGTATCTTAGCTTATCAAATATATAATCATGAAAACAAAAAATCAATTTTACACATATATATATACAGGCAGCCTGCTGGAGCCCAGATGGTAGTGTACTATTGTTTACAACAGAGCGTGAACCAATCATATACTCCCTTACATTCTCCACATCTCGTAATGATAGAGGAACTGTGATTGGTGGGTCTCAGTCAGCTGTTGCCTCAGTGGACCTTTCAGAGGTAGTGGTGAAAAATGAAGACAATGAAGATGTTGAGTATGTATCTATCAACCTCACTCAAAGTGATCAATCTGATTAAAATTTCAGGAATTCCTTTACTTTTGCCATTTATCCAGTTAAAGAAGCCCACCTCAGACTTTTGAGTCAGAATTTTTATCTTGGTTGCCTTGGTTTATTTTGGGATAAATATTGTGAAGTATTTACTCTGAAAATATGTGCCACATGAAACTACCAGGTAACTTAAAAATTAGTAAATTTTGATAATATTGTATAAAGACAATTATGATCCAAATTTTGGATGTTTTTGTTGTTACATCTTGATTCTGATGTTTCTTGTACAGTCAATGCTTTTCTTCTTTTTGACAGAATTGGAGGGCTGGCTCATAATATGGTGTGGGATTCAACTGGGGAGAGATTGGCTGTACTTTTGGGAGGTATAACAACAAAAATTTTCTTTTACCATTTATTATATTGTGTTTTAAAACATTTCGAAGCACTCATATATTTGTCATTTTAATATGGTTATTTTCATTCATTTATTAAACTTGTTTTGGTATGTGCTGCACATTGCAATGTCTCTATGAAAATACAACAAAAGATAGTGTGATGAAACAAGTGTTGTTTTATAATTTCTTTATGTGATGCTCATTGCTGCAGTAGCAACATGTTGGAAACTTGTTTTTAAAAAAAAATCTTGGCTTTCCTGGTGTGGCATTAAATTCCGTGTATTGAAACTAAGTTAGTATTGTTTTAAAGTCCAACCAATTCAGAAAAAAAGCTGTGTAGCTTATACAGGTGACACTTCAAAAGGAGTTACTGAATCATATATTGAAATCTGGTCATGATCCATTCTTCTCTTTTTCAGGTGATAAAAATGCTAAGCGAATGGTTGTGTTGTTCCGGACCAAAATATCACCATTGCTTGAAGTAACTCCTTGGTAAGTGGATACCAGGGGCCACTTGTATCCTGTAATGAACTTTCTTTTCTTGTGTTTTTTTTTTTTTTTGGGGGTGGGGGTATTAAAAGAAAAACCACTCAGTTTCTAGCCATTACCCTGAGGTTTTTCCTAATTCATGCAAAATATTGGATGACTGATTGAACAGAGCATGATATTGTAAAGTATCACAATATCAATGTCTTTCCATTGAATACTGAACCTGTAATACATATTTAGCTCCATCCTTAGTCACTGGTGTAATGATAGGTTGAATTATTCATTTATTGCGATAGCTTTGCACTCGGTAGCAATAAGATTGATAGTGTGTTTTCAAGGTGATAACTATCGCGATACTTTGTCTAACTATTGATTTTTAGGTCATCTGACCCGAAGGGTCCGATAACCTATAGTCATCATGCTTCGTCCGTCGTCGTCCGCCGTGCGCCGTGCGCCGTCCGTAAACTTTTCATTCAAACGACTTCTTCTCAAATACTAGAAGGTCTAGGGGGCTAATACTTGGCACAGAGGATACTGGCATGGAGCTCTACCAAGTTTGTTCAAATGAATGACCTTGACCCACTTTAAAGGTCACAGGGGTCAAATATGTTAAAATCTTTAAACAACTTCTTCTCATTAACCAAAAGGCTCAGAGTGTAGATATTGGGCCTGTGACATGCTGGGATGAAGGACTACCAAGTTTGTTCAAATGAATGACCTTGACCCACTTTCAAGGTCACAGGGGTCAAATATGTTAAAATCTTTAAACAACTTCTTCTCATTAACCAAAAGGCTCAGAGTGTAGATATTGGGCCTGTGACATGCTGGGATGAAGGACTACCAAGCTTGTTCAAATGAATGACCTTGACCCACTTTAAAGGTCACAGGGGTCAAATATGTTAAAATCTTTAAACAACTTCTTCTCAATAACCAAAAGGCTCAGATTGCTGATATTGTGCCTGTGGCATGCTGGGATGAAGGGCTATCAAGTTTGTTTAAATGAATGACCTTGAACAACTTTCAAGGTCACAGGGGTCAAATATGTCAAAATCTTTAAATAACTTCTTCTCAAATACTAGAAGGCCTAGGGGGCTAATACTTGGCCCATAGCATGCTGGCATGGAGCCCTACAAAGTTTGTTCAAATGAATGACCTTGGCCCACTTTCAAGGTCACAGGGGTCAAATATGTTAAAATATACAAAGGACTTCATCTCAATAAGCAGAAGTCTATAAGTGCCGATATTGGGTCTGTAGCATGCTGGGAGGAAAGGCTACCAAGTTTATTTAAATGAATGACCTTGAACAACTTTCAAGGTCGCAGGGGTCAAATATGTCAAAATCTTTAAATAACTTCTTCTGAAATACTAGAAGGCCTAGGGGGCTAATACTTGGCCCATAGCATGCTGGCATGGAGCCCTACAAAGTTTGTTCAAATGAATGACCTTGGCCCACTTTCAAGGTCACAGGGGTCAAATATGTTAAAATATACAAAGGACTTCATCTCAATAAGCAAAAGTCTATGAGTGCCAATATTGGGTCTGTAGCATGCTGGGAGGAAAGGCTACCAAGTTTATTCAAATGAATGACCTCAACCCACTTTCAAGGTCACAGGGGTCAAATATGTTAAAATATACAAACGACTTCTTCTCAACAAGCAAAAGTCCATGAGTGCTGATATTGGGCCTGTAAGATGCTTGGAGGAGAGGCTACCAAGTTTGTTCAAATGAATGACCTCAACCCACTTTCTAGGTTTGGCTTGCTTTTTGTCAGATGACCGTTAAGGCCCATGGGCCTCTTGTTAATGATA